TTTCAGGCAGATCAGAGTCCCAGAGAAAATTTGCTAACTCGGTTCCACACTTCAGATGAAAATCTTTCACTTCACCTCTGCAATATTGCTTAGTGCCCAAAGAGACAAATCCATCCTTGCTGGTCTCTGTTTTGTTTGTATATAAACAAAAAGCTACCTGGACAATTCAGGCAGAAAACAGACCTACCAGAAATCATCCTTATGACAAATTGCACACATGCATGCAGCAACACTGCAGGTCACAGACGGAACTCCACTGAGGGATTTTGATAACCCCTTCCAGGCAATTCGTAATTCAACCCCTGCCTGTATCTCTCCTCTGTCTCCTCACCACTCCCTTTGACTCTGCATCTGACTGCTGCTATTCTTAATTTCACTGCTCAGTGACTGTGAAGCTTTCCCCACACGATCCTGTCTAAACCAAATAACCTCTCAGAAAATATTCTCAGGGATCTCTGTCCCATCTCCTTCATGCTGCAGTGATGTTTGTCACTGAGGCTCTTGGGCAACATTCAGTTTTTATAGTACAAGCTCATGCCTTTCTGAGCAAGCAGCAAAAAAAATCCATCAGAAAAAAAAACCCAAACAAACCCAGTCAACTCTTAATTATCATCCAGATTGCAAATTAACACCATTCTGCCGTTTTTTGGACGCTACCCAGCTGTGGCACGGTGTTACGGTTCTTCTCCCCTGTGACATGAAGCACTGTCCAGGCCAAACCCTCGCCCAATTGCTCTACAGAAATCTATTTATTTGCTTTTCAAAGGTAAATACCCAATTACAGTCTCACAGCCCAAAGCACACGTTTTGTGTTACCTCTTTTAGGACCCTCTTCATCTCTGCTCCTCTGCATAATTGAGAGTTGACTGTAGCTTGTTACACTTCCCATGTTCTACTTTTTTTTGGCTAAACAAGGATACATGCTATGAATTCACAGCAGCGTCATTTTTATACTGCTGTGGAAGGGAGCATGTAGCTAATGACTCCTCTGAAAAGGCCAGCAAAGAAACAGATGACAACTCTGCCATTTAAATGACAATACTTCAGCTGCAGTGTGGGCACTCTGTGATGAACAGGAGAGTTCTCACCTCTCTCTCTGGACCAGACAGCCAGTTTAGAGTGAAGTCCAGCTCAGAGGAGATTTTAGCCAGGTCCAAGAGCTAGGAAAACCTAATTTTTCATTACCTCTTAAATTCTGCAAAATTTAACCTGACATTAGGCAGATTAACTTTGATTCAAAGAAGTAGCCAGTGACTAGTCTCACACAATGCTTTGATGATGGCGTCAGGTATTCCTTTGATGTAATCTTGTTTATTCACAAAGAATTTTCCACAAGTCCGGTTTTCCTCAACACAGCAGAACTCAAATGGAAAGAACGGTTTGTTGGCTCACAGTTTTCTGGTCAACCCCTTGGCCTACAGGAGCTCTCCCTAGTCCTTCTCCCTCAGCCATCACTTTGGCTTGCTGCTGCTTTTCTGCAGGTTCTGCTCCCTCTTTTCACACATGCTTGTGACCTCGGGAAAATATTCATTCCTCTCTGTATGCATTCAGACTGCAGCAAAGCCCATTTCCTCTCCCAGCCTACCTTTGTAAAAACCCTGTATTTGGGGAAATCACTCCTATTGTTTTAGGAATCTCATTTTACATAGATTTCATTACTTCTGACATTCATTTTACATGAGCAGTGGTTGTTATGCCCTTGAGCTCCAAGAATTCATCTAATCTGAAGAATAACTATACCTAACACAGCCTGGGGGGTCAGCGATTTTTATCTTTGTTCTCTGTTCTACTTTACAACCCCTTATACTGGTCAGGCAGGGTCTGCCTGAGCCTGTAGTCTGCAGTGAGGTAGATCATCTTGCACAGCGTTCATAAGGGACTCCTAACTCATCCAACTAGACACAGTTGGCTGAGCATGGCCTTCATCGGCCGTCCGAAACAATGTTTGGCATCACAGAGGGGCACTCTGACCGCTCTGCCCTTGTGCTGCCGTTGACAGGCAACCGACACCTGCCTGAGCCACCCACTGGCTCCCGCTGCCACCTCCACTGAAAGCCTCATTCCAGGAACACTCGAGAGTGGAAGGTGGGGTCTCGCTGCTCCTGCTGCGGACGGGAAGCCAGGTGAAGTGCTGGAGACCCCATCCCTAGGCAGCTGCCTACAAGCAAAGGATGGAGGATGCAGTACAGAGCCTTAGTGGGAGGACTTCATAGAATCATAGAACCGTTTGGGTTGGAAGGGACCTTAAAGATCATCTCATCCCAACCCCCTGCCCCGGGCAGGGCCACCTTCCCCCAGCCCAGGTTGCCCAAAGCCCCGTCCAACCTGGCCTTGAGCCCTTCCAGGGAGGGGGCAGCCACAGCTTCTCTGGGCAGCCTGTGCCAGGGCCTCACCCCCCTCACAGGGAACAATTTCTGCCTTAGACCTAGCCTAAATCTCCTCTCTTCCAGTTTAAAGCCATTACTCCTCATCCTGTCACTACATGCCCTTGTAAAAAGTCCCTCCTTAGCTTTCTGGAAGGCCACTCTAAGGAGGACTTCTGGGAAGGGGCTGCAGAGGGGACTGTCAGCAATGTGGCCACAGAAAAGCAGCAGCAGGATATCATTATGTGAGTGGGAAGCTGGGTCAGCACCTGAAACAGCACACCTGTGTTGCTGAATAATCATTACAGATGAGACTATACACTAGCAATTACTTTCAGCTTAAGTGATATTAAAGGGAGATCCTTGATAAACAAGCAAATCTCATAGAATTCATTTCTCTCCTTGCAATAATCCTCTATAATTACAGATAAATGCCAGATTTGCTAGAACACTTGGCACTAAAATATTCTCCATTGCACAAATGGATAGAGGCTCAAATCTCACTTAGGAGAAGAAAACAACCAGTGTGCTTACTGTATCATTAGTAACTCAGCATCATTTGCATCTGGTTGTCAGCTGCATCTACAGCTCAATGCTGGAACAAGCAACTTTTAAATTCTTCCAACAAGGCTTGTCCCACTTTTGACACTGGGTCATGGCCAGCATAAGGGAACCCTAAACCTCACAGAAACCTGTGGGAGCTGCTACATAGAAACATTTAACGCAACTGAAAAAGAGTACCAGGACATCCATATGCAACAAGAGACATTCTGTCAAAATATTTAGTTAAAAGTCTCAAAGAACTCAAAATGGTGCTGAAGTTTGGAAACATACCACAGAAAGAGGGTGAGGTGGAAACTGGAGAGCTCTTTGAAGTAGTGCAGTATCCTAGGACTAGGGGACGCGGATTATAAAATGATTCATAAAAGGCTTTTGCTCAGACACTGGGAACTTTGTGGAACACCCCGGAGGAGCGGTGGGTCCAGCAAAGTTAATCACATTAAGAAAGAGCCTACGCGAGTGCACAGCTGCTTAGCCAAATAATCACTTGGCTGGGATAATTCATGGGTTGATTGTTCCTGTGCACAGGGCTAATCTCAGCTCTATCAGTTATTTACTTAAAATACAACCTGGATACTTTCTTGGTGGCTCAATTGGTTCCCAAGGTTTTTCTTGGCAGAGTGAAGAGGAATCTCCTTCTCTCTGCACCTTCGGTTGGGTGAGAGTCTGTGCAGTCACAGGGACTCGCACAGGAACTAGGCAACGGTCAATCAAATCCATTACGTGTTCACCAGGCTCAGATTAATGAACTAAGGTAACTGCTGTGAGCCCATGAAAAATGAGAGTTGGTATTAACAGAGACTTAAATGAAAAACACTGCACGCAGGTGACCAGTGCAGCCTCCTTGCTCTTGCTCCCACTAATGCTTGTTAATGCATGGGAATTTGGCCACACATCTAAGATTCTGAAAATATCTGATGCCAGATGTGTCAAAGGAAAACACGGGGCAGTCCTAACACAAATCGATGTGCAAAACTACTTTGGGGTGGAAATGCCTTTCTTTTGCCAGTTGCGGACCAGATAATCCTGGGAGCTCAAGAGGTGATGCATCTAGGCAGTCTATCCCAGGCAGTGAAGATACAAATACTATTCGTTACTTAAACGTTCTCCAGTACATACATACTTACACCTGCATCTTCATTCAATCATCAACATCTCTTTTCAGCCATAAGATACTCGAAGTGACAGAATTATATTTTATCACAATTAAATCGATCGTCCTTTTCTGTGCAGAACTAGCAGATTCCTCTCAACCCTGCAGCTGTATTTAAAAACTCTGGAATGAACTCTTGTGCTGGCTCTTTCCATTACAGCTGTGTAACATCCCCAGGAGTTTACAGCCTGTTTTATAGGCAGCCACTAACAAGCTGTGCCCATGCTGCAGCTACAGCTGCAGCTACGACCAGACCAAGATCAAGCCCCAAAAAGCCAAAACAGCAGCAAAGTGGGTTTGAAACCAAGTTGCTGAACTACAAGGCTTCCAGGCAGCGTGAAGCCCAGGCAGAGTGAGCTTGCAAAGGACACAGACATACCCTATGTCACAGAAAAAGCAAAAGGGAAGAGATCGAGCTCTTACGCCCGCCTAGCCTGCTCGATGGGATCGTCGTTGTCGAGGTAGTTGAATCGGATGGTGTCTGTAGGATGCCTGTCTGATGAACGCCACGGTGGGAGCTCTTTTTTCTCCTTGCTTGTCCTCCTTCCTGACACAGAAAGTTTTGCCTCTGAGATGTTGCTTTTTACTGGTTGCACATCAATAACTACAAACTCATCCTTTGAAGGAGTCTAATAAGAGAGATCAAAAGAAGAAAAGAAATTTTAGCCTATAATGAAAACGCGATTTGTTTTGTCTAACTTTAGATTTCTAAGAATTGGGTATTAACTCTTAATAGCACTCCAGGCTCCATTATGGTCAGTGGTCAGAAATAGGCACCCTGACAATGCATGTCATCACCCATGTCCCAAAATCTGTATTAAGATGAGCTGAGCTGCTTTTGAGATGCATTGGCTTCCCTCTATTGACTACAGAAAGAGTCTATGGCAGGGGTTGGTTAAAATTAGAGGGATGAGTTTTGAATTGAGGGCAGAAGAATCCCACCCTTACAACCTTTCAAAGCAGTGATGGCATCAGTGAATCTCAGGAGAAAGCGAAGGCTGCTAAGTAATGTTCCACCTCCCCAGAATGGCCCTGTCACCTTTGAAGAAGAGAGAAAGAAACAACACCAAGGGCTATAACAGTTATTTTTCCTTGCCACCAGGTAAACTGACTCTGAAAAGTCAGCAGGGGTGATGCTTGGTACTCCTGCTTATCAGATTGAGGCAAGCTATCATATGCTCTATAAACTGAGGAAAAAAGAGGGGAACAGCCTTAAGTGCTGGAAAGGGAAATTTAGAGGATTACTCCAGAACACCTTGAAAGGACATCAGAGTGAGAGCTTGGTGATTGCTTCTCCTCATCAGTGAGATTTTCACTTCCCCTCTACCAAGGATGGATGATGGGTACGTAGAGAGCATGTCCCCATATGAGTTTAGATTCTAATTTAAAATTATGTATTTTCCATTTTACCAGTGGGAGCTTACAGAAAGCTAAGAGGCAAAGGGGTTAGGCACCCGACCAGCCTACTTATCCTTGGCGTCCCAAACATCTCTAGAGGTGGTAGATATGTACCTTTGGTCTTGTGACACGCAGCTCTTTCACCATCTCAATGTAATGTTTCTTCCAGATTCCTTGCTCAAAGGGGGTTGGAGAGAAGTTGATGTACCAGCCAAAACGCAGGCATTTCAGCATCCAGAGCTGATCCAGTTCAGACAGGTACTTCCAGTACCAGCTCACCTGTGAATGCCCAGTAAATTGAAAACCTTGGGGTTTCAAGCATCCAGGACCGAAGCTAGCAACTTCTGTGCTGTGGGTGTAATGACACTATGTGGAAACTAGTATAATTCTTCAGCACTGTTTATCATGGAATCCCAGAACCATCTGGGTTGGAAAAGCCCTCGCAGCTCCTCCAGCCACACCATGACCCTCCCCCTGACCGTTCCCAACTCCCCCAGATCCCTCAGCGCTGGCTCAGCCCGACTCTTCAACCCCCCCAGGGATCCCGGGGACTCCCCCCTGCCCTGGGCAGCCCATTCCAACGCCCAACAGCCCCTTCTGCACAGAAATCCTTCCTCAGAGCCAGCCTGACCCTGCCCTGGGCAGCTTGAGGCCATTCCCTCGGGGCCTGGCGCTGG